AGATCATGAAGGAGTACCAGAAGCCATACAGAAGCTCTGTGGTGTGAGAGGACATTATGCAAGGTTGTGCGGACCAGTGAGGGTAACTATTGAGCTGATGGGCATAAAGGACAGACACAAAGTATACCTGGCTGACATTGAAGACCCATGCATATTAGGGTTGGACAACCTACTACCGAGGAAGTATGTAGTGAAATTCGACAAAATGACGTTTCGGAACAACAAAGGCCAAGTTCCAGTTAGTGTTGCTGCATCTGTTGATTTGTATGTCACAGCACTTAAGTCAACTACAATACCCCCTATTCACAGATGATAATGTGGAGTAGAATAAAAGAACATCCCCAAGGAAGCCTGATGCTTGTGGAAGCAGTGGAAGACCCATCCAGGGCAGTGGAGATGAAAATTGGAAGGCCACTTGTGGCAGCTCATCAAGTAGAAGCCATAACAGTGGCCAATTTCTCTAAATGTGAGCAAACACTTAAAAAAGGGGCATTGTTGTGTGTGTGCCAGGAGGTAGAGCTAGTGAATGCTAAGGCAAGAAATACAACCACAAAGAAAGGACATCCTCTCCCAGAACATTTAACTCACCTCTATAAGAAGAGCATAGTCCATTTGTCATCATCACAGGCTTTTCAGGTTAGGGAACTTTTGGCGTATTTTGCAGACATCTTTTCGAAAGGAGATCATGACCTCGGCTGGACAGGCCTTGCAGAGCACAAAATAAACACAGGCAATCATCATCCAATAAGGATCCCTCTGAGGAGAACAGCTCTGACAAAATGACAAGAGATGGAGAAGGTCGTGGATGGCCTAAATAAGAAAGGGATAGTCGAGAAATTAGATAGTCCCTGGTCAGCTCCTGTTGTGTTAGTCCAGAAGAAGGATGGGACCCAACGTTGCTGTGTGGACTTCAGGGCTCTTAACAGTATATCCGAAAAGGACTCATACCCACTACCAAGAATTTATTATACACTTGATGTACTAAGTGGAGCCAGGTGGTTTTCAATTCCGGACTTAAAGTCGGGTTTCCATCAAGTGAAAATGGCTGAAGCAGATAAATCCAAGACAGCATTTAGCTATGGCCACGGTCTTTGGCAATATCGTGTGATGGAATTCGTGCTCAGCAATGCTCCAACAACATTTGAGAGGCTGATGGAAGGAGTACTGGAAGGCCTACAATAGAGGATAGCCCTAGTGTACCTGGATGATGTCATTGTGTTTGCAACAACGTATGATGAGGAAATGTCCCGGCTAGATGAAATATTCAAGCGTTTGAAAGCAGCAAACCTCAAACTCCATCCCAAAAAAATGCCACTTGTTCCAGAAAGAGGTGCTTTACTTAGGTGTGCAAACTGATCCTGACCAGGTGAAAGCAGTGCGTGATTGGTCCACACCAGACAATATGGGAGAGTTAAGAAAGTTCTTGGGGCTCTGTACCTATTACCGGCAGTTTATGAAGGACTTTGCAACTATAGCTATCTGTACTGTGCCCACCAAGGGTATTGAAATCCTATTTCTAGCGTTGTAAGTCTGCAAACATACCTCTGTGCCACCGGGTGGGCGGGTGGCGTAAGCCAGAAGTTTGAATGGACAGTTTCTTGCTAGCATGCTTTCAATAAATTGAAAGAAAATTGGCCTCAGCCAATTCTGCATCTCAGCAAACCCTTGTGAGTATCAAGGTACTGGATCACAAAGAAGTACCAGAAGCTGTACAGAAGCTCTGTGGTGTGACAGGACATTATGCAAGGTTGTGGGGACCAGTGTGGGTAACTATTGAGCTCATGGGCATAAAGGGCAGACACAAAGTATACTTAGCTGACATTGAAGACCAATGCATATTAGGGTCGTACTACTTACTACCGAGGAAGTTTGTAATTAATTTTGATAAAATGACGTTTAGTAGCCAACAAAGGCCAAATTCCGGTAGCTGTTAAAAGAGAGGTTGAACTAACTAGGTGCCATCAAGCTGAAGTCAAAGTGACTGAAGAAGTTGATGATAGTGAAGTTGAACCAGG